CACGACATTTTTAATCCATTTAATGAGGCAGTCCATGATTCTTCAACATTCCGATTTGAAATATTCCGCATTCCATTCATGTCTGCCCACAATATAATGGTAATTTTACAAATTTCAAATTTATATTCACATTTTGATACCCAGATTTGTATGTGTGTGTGTCACCACACAATCTGCCGTACATAAACATTTGTAATTGTGGACCACATCCATTAAAATAATCATTTTTTTTTTTTGGGGTAACACAAATGCTAGGTTGATGGCTATCCCCATCATGAATTTGTTTGTGTGTGTGTGTTTTTTTTTTATTTTTTCCTCCGTTTGGAAATAAACAGAGACATTAATGTGACCACGTGACCCGTAACATTTATCCGAATGCACTACCCACTCCACTTCATATCCATTCACATATCCCGTCATATTCATTTCTAATCAGTTGATGATTTTGGGGGAGGAAGAGGGAAGATCCCAAAATGCTGGCTGGCATTTTGACCAAACACGAAAACATTGACAAGGCTATTTAAGGAAACTAATAAGGTACGATTTTGGTAATGGATTCACTTTAAAGGGTGAAGTTTGTCGCTGAAAAAGGAAATGTTGAAAAAATGTATTTCTTTAAAAAGTCCATTAAAAATAATTTTTAAAAAATCTATGCCTTGTGTGGAGGGAGACCCTCAAAAATATTTTTTAAAAAATCCACGCCTTGTGTGGAGGGAGACCCTGGAAAATAATTTTTAAAAAATCCACGCCTTGTGTGGAGGGAGACCCTCAAAAATAATTTTTAAAAAATCCACGCCTTGTGTGGAGGGAGACCCTCAAAAATAATTTTTAAAAAATCCACGCCTTGTGTGGAGGGAGACCCTCAAAAATAATTTTTAAAAAATCCACGCCTTGTGTGGAGGGAGACCCTCAAAAATAATTTTTAAAAAATCCACGCCTTGTGTGGAGGGAGACCCTCAAAAATAATTTTAAAAAAATCCACGCCTTATGTGGAGGGAGACCCTCAAAAATAATTTTAAAAAAATCCACGCCTTGTGTGGATGGAAACCCTCAAAAATAATTTTTAAAAAATCCACGCCTTGTGTGGAGGGAGACCCTCAAAAATAAGTTTTAAAAAATCCACGCCTTGTGTGGAGGTTGACCCTCAAAAATAATTTTTAAAAAATCCACGCCTTGTGTGGAGTGAGACCCTCAAAGATAAATTTTAAAAAATCCACGCCTTGTGTGGAGGTTGACCCTGAAAAATAATTTTTAAAAAATCCACGCCTTGTGTGGATGGATTCCCTCAAAGATAAATTTTAAAAAATCCAAGCCTTGTGTGGAGTGAGACCCTCAAAAATAATTTTTAAAAAATCCACGCCTTGTGTGGAGGTTGACCCTCAAAAATAATTTTTAAAAAATCCACGCCTTGTGTGGAGGTTGACCCTCAAAAATAATTTTTAAAAAATCCACGCCATATGTCGAGACCCTCAAAAATAATTTTTAAAAAATCCACGCCATATGTCGAGACCCTCAAAAATAATTTTTAAAAAATCCACGCCTTGTGTTGAGGGAGACCCTCAAAAATAATTTTTAAAAAATCCACGCCTTGTGTGGAGGGAGACCCTCAAAAATAATTTTTAAAAAATCCACGCCTTGTGTGGAGGGAGACCCTCAAAAATAATTTTTAAAAAATCCACGCCTTGTGTGGAGGGAGACCCTCAAAAATAATTTTTAAAAAATCCACGCCTTGTGTGGAGGGAGACCCTCAAAAATAATTTTTAAAAAATCCACGCCTTGTGTGGAGGGAGACCCTCAAAAATAATTTTTAAAAAATCCACGCCTTGTGTGGAGGGAGACCCTCAAAAATAATTTTTAAAAAATCCACGCCTTGTGTGGAGGGAGACCCTCAAAAATAATTTTTAAAAAATCCACGCCTTGTGTGGAGGGAGACCCTCAAAAATAATTTTTAAAAAATCCACGCCTTGTGTGGAGGGAGACCCTCAAAAATAATTTTTAAAAAATCCACGCCTTGTGTGGAGGGAGACCCTCAAAAATAATTTTTAAAAAATCCACGCCTTGTGTGGAGGGAGACCCTCAAAAATAATTTTTAAAAAATCCACGCCTTGTGTGGAGGGAGACCCTCAAAAATAATTTTTAAAAAATCCACGCCTTGTGTGGAGGGAGACCCTCAAAAATAATTTTTAAAAAATCCACGCCTTGTGTGGAGGGAGACCCTCAAAAATAATTTTTAAAAAATCCACGCCTTGTGTGGAGGGAGACCCTCAAAAATAATTTTTAAAAAATCCACGCCTTGTGTGGAGGGAGACCCTCAAAAATAATTTTAAAAAAATCCACGCCTTATGTGGAGGGAGACCCTCAAAAATAATTTTAAAAAAATCCACGCCTTGTGTGGAGGGAGACCCTCAAAAATAATTTTAAAAAAATCTACTCCTTGTGTGGAGGTTGACCCTGAAAAATAATTTTTAAAAAATCTACTCCTTGTGTGGAGACCCTCAAAAATAACTTTTAAAAAATCCACGCCTTGTGTGGAGGGAGACCCTCAAAAATAATTTTTAAAAAATCCTCGCCTTGTGTGGAGGTTGACCCTTGTGTGGAGGGAGACCCTCAAAAATAATTTTTAAAAAATCCACGCCTTGTGTGGAGGGAGACCCTCAAAAATAATTTTTAAAAAATCCACGCCTTGTGTGGAGGGAGACCCTCAAAAATAATTTTTAAAAAATTCACGCCTTGTGTGGACGTTGGCCCTCAAAAATAATTTTTAAAAAATCCACGCCTTGTGTGGAGGTTGACCCTCAAAAATAATTTTTAAAAAATCCACGCCTTGTGTGGAGTGAGACCCTCAAAAATAATTTTTAAAAAAACCACGCCTTGGGTGGAGGGAGACCCTCAAAAATATGTTTAAAAAAATCCTTCTTCCTTATTGGAGTATAATCTATCACCTTATTATCGTGAATCCTCCACCTCACGTTTTCGGAATTATGTCCTTTTTATAACCGCCGTTAGACAGAATTTTCAAGTTGTCACATGAATTCCGCTGCCAATCGTTGCTGAACTTTAAGAAAAAGAGTTTATCAATTTGTGACCAGAATATGGGGAAAATGGCAAGGTGTTCACACACACACACACGGACATACATTTAGCTTCTCGAGTACATGTTTGACTAGTCTCCCTCCTCCCGTCCTCTATGTGATGATGCTGCTGCATTCAGTTCGAATTAGTTGCGGCAAATAAATTGTCCACGTACAACCTGTGTTAAACGTGATTTATAGAAGTTCCAAACACTGACAACAACAACAACAATGAGAAAAAACTTTCCTTAATTTTACGATGGCAAATTTTCACAGCGTTAAAGAGGTGATTTAAAGTCAATTGAATTGAATTGTGGGGGGAGAGGTACACAGGGGGAATTTCAAAAGCCATCAAGAAAGTGGTCGGTGGGGTAATATTTTAAAAAATAAGTCCTTCTTATTAGAGGTCCTTAAAAAGACCAACTGAACTCCGATTTTTTTCTACCTAAGCCCACAATTTTAAACCCCCTTATTTTGTTTCTAAATTTATTTCAAAGTTTTCAAAATTAAACGTGATTTTAATTCTAATTGTTGTTGTGCCCAAAAATAAAAGGTTTCATCGCCCGAATTAATGGCAATAACTTCGTTGACCATTACAGGCAATTGTTATGACCAACTTTGTTCATTACAAAAGTCCAAGGCTTTGTTGACATCCCTGTTGACCTTTTTCGAGAATATTATATAGCTTCCTCACACACACATACCCATTTACAACTACAATTAAACATATAATTAATAAGCGACTTAAAAGTTTAAAGCCATACCCAGAAAATGGATGGGAAATAAAAAACTTTTTTTACCCATTTTTTTTCTATCCTGGTGTGTCCTGTTTTATTCCTGAGGATTCCGATTTCCATTTGGCTGTTGTTTCTGTTTTTAGTTCAAATAATAAATTTGTTACTGTTAACTGTGGTAAAACACACACGCACATTGGACTAGAAGAGACCTGACCCGGACCAACCGGTATTACGTTTGGTTGGTTGGCTGCTGCAGGATGTTGGTCGTTTGGCTGATTGTCGTTTTTGTTGTTGTTGTTGCTGCGATTGCTATTTCGAATTTACACATTGACAAATTAAATGGCAAAGTTTTGACTCAATGCGGTTGTCAACAGTGTTAGTGATTGCCGGTGGTGGTGTTGTTGTTGTTTTTGTTAAGTTATTGTAATTAAAATAAATAATGCCAACAAATCCATATAAACATATGTTGCAATGGTTTTGTATTATGGCAAATCTTGCCACACAAGGGATAAACAACGTTTGACGCAGTGTACATGACCTACAGGATGTTGGCACTGTCGATTTTTTTAAAAATTATTTTTGAGGATCTCCCTCCACACAAGGCGTGGATTTTTTAAAAATTATTTTTGAGGGTCTCCCTCCACACAAGGCATGGATTTTTTAAAAATTATTTTTGAGGGTCTACCTCCACACAAGGCGTGGATTTTTTAAAAATTATTTTTGAGTGTCAACCTCCACACAAGGCGTGGATTTTCTAAAAATTATTTTTGAGGGTCTCCATCCACACAAGGCGTGGATTTTTTAAAAATTATTTTTGAGGGTCTCCCTCCACACATGGCGTGGATTTTTTAAAAATTATTTTTTAGGGTCTCCCTCCACACATGGCGTGGATTTTTTAAAAATTATTTTTTAGGATCTCCCTCCACACAAGGCGTGGATTTTTTAAAAATTATTGTTGGGGGACCAATTCCAAAAAAGTTTTAAAGAAAAAACTACGTTTCTTGTAATAAATATATTTCAAAATTGTGTTATCTTCAAAAAATACTTGATTATATATGCACATACATGATTATGCCGGAATAAAATACTAAAACTAATTCTATAAATTATAATAATAAAAAAGGAAGGCATGTAGAGCTACATTTTAATATAAGAAAAAAAATTATTAAAATATTAAAAAAAATATATATCTTTAATGCATTGGAGATGCCAGACGCGAAGCAGCTTGGGTATTCTGACGCATATTGGCCTTTAAACGTTTTTCGGTCACCTGTTTAACTAACTGCTCCTGCATTGCCAATAGTTCCCGGGTACGATTATAGATTTTATTTTGTGGTCGCATACTGGGATTCCAACGACAATACAATCCCTTCCATATCTTAACAATACGCATGCTGGCAATGGGCCGTAACACTGTTTGGGCACCCTGGGTAAACGAGGGATATAAGGGATTTAAATATTGATCAATTGAGGAATTGATGTAAGTCCAAAGGGAGATTGTTTTGTGTTTGAGATCTGAAAGATAAAAAATTAAATTTAAAGGAAATTATTTTCTCAAAAATTAAACCCCCTTACCTTCCTGCACCCTATCATATTCGGTATTTCCCAGAAAAGTTCCAAAACGACACGAATACAAATGGTCAATGATGGTGATGAGGAAATGTTCATTAAATTCAAAGGCATTCGGATATTGCTGTGACACCTGCCACACACAATCGATAAATTGCAAAAACACCGGAGAACGATCAGCATCGGAATGGCGATTATCACCATGACCAATCCTCTGTTGGAATTTATGGCCAAACGACAGCCATTCCTTTTCGATTAGGACCTCAAAACCCCGCAATGTCCGATAATATGGATCCAATAACAACATTGCCAAGGCCGTCAATTGGGCAGTGCGATCCCAACCATCGGAACAGTGGACCACAACCGAGGTACTCATTGTCTCCACCTTGTCCACAATCCGCACCGCCCCGGCCAAAATACACTTGATGTGTTTCAACCACAAGCTATTGTCAATCGATGACAACCACTTGGAGTCATCAATCGTGGGATAGCAAACCTCTTTCACCTTCCTCAAACTCTCCCGCATCACATGGATATTGTGTATGTCCAAAAAGTGTATCTCAACATTTTTATAGGCCTCCTCCGACTCGTAACCACCACCCTTGGCCTTGTTGGCAATAGCATTGGCACTTGGTCGGGCGTCCATAATTGCCAATTTGTCCGATTGGGCATTAGCCTCCATAATATAATTCAAATACTGCTCATCATCGGCGCTACGTTTGCCTCCCACTCCCACCAATGGCTGGGAGCAACGCGTTATCGTCGCCTGGGATCTGGGATGCATCCATGACAGAACGGGTAAACGACACCTCGAACGGAACTGCGCCACTCTACGCAAAAAATCATCAGATGCCTGTTTGGGAACTGCCCACACGGCCGGGTAGCTATCACACACCGTATAATTCTCATTGATTTTCGTCGCCCTCCACATATCATTGGGTACACCCAAACGCCTCAGCTCCGCCAATGGTTCATACACATTCCAACCATTCTCCCCAGCCCCCGAACTGCCAATTGCAGCGGCATGGGCAAAGGCAAACAACTTTCCACTATACGATAAGGGAAAGGCATACGACTGCAACTTCTCGAATACTGTACGCCTGGAATGATTCTGTTGTTTGTGGGCAAAGCGCAGATTCCGCATATCCTTACAAAATATTTCAATACCATAGGAATTCTGGCCCCTCGATGAGGCTCCACCAATTTTCTCCACCCGAGCTATCACACCCAATGGTATATCCACCACTACGGGCGGTTCATGGTCCCTCAACGGCAACGAACGGAAATACAAACGATAATTGGTTATAGTCAAAGCTCCATTTGCCGGACCCCGATAGGGACAAACATAGGTAACATCATTCTTCAAGTCTTGATCTTCTTCACCCTCCAAATAGGTAAAGGGCGTGTCTTTCGATGATCCCGTTTCATTACCATGTTTTGAACCGATTGAACTGGATTTCGAATCCGTATCCAGAGAATTTGTGCTGGCATTTTTCGATGTAGCCTTATCGGCTAAATTGCTGGCCGTTTCCTGTAGATCCTTTCTATCCATTTCCGAAAAATTTTCTCCTTTTGTTACACCGTCTTTAATTACAATGCCGTTTCTAAAATTTTGACGGCGTTGAGACTGAAGCTTAGAAAGAGGGGAAAAAAGAAAATGGCCGCTAAAGATAAAGAATCAAAACAAACTATTATCAATTCACAAATGGCAAGGGTTCACACAATCGACTTTTGGTCAAGAGCTGACTAAACGATTGTTTATCACTAATCGATAACTTATAGATGTTTTTAACCGTGGGAAGGAGTATATTTCGACAGAATCGTACCATAAAATGAGATAAGGACACTATTGTGTCCAGTATACATCAATATGGCTTGAGCTATTCTATAGTGAATGGAAGACATTCGAGACGGCCAATAACGTAAACAAGAAAAATCTCCGTCTGGTGTTTGAAGCATCGGGCGCCAGTCATATATGGAATTTGTTCCCCAAGGTGAGATGATTTATTCAAGCTATCCTAGGCAATGTCAGAGGTGTACATGGCTAGTTCATTAATAGCTAAAAGTTTTTATACAGTGTTTGAATATATATTCAAAAGGACAATAGGAAATTTTCACAGCTGCGCTAAACATCCTACAATGGTCTTTGGTGTGACTATGAATATTGTTGCGGGGTAGCTTAAACGCAGTCTTTTGTCGAGGCCAAAAAAAAATTTTGCGTGGAGGGGCCTTAGGAAGTGGCTTGTTTCGCCTACGATGTAGCCACTAACCACGAGTTTCCACCAGCTCCCATTATGCGGTAGAGTTGGGGGAGCTGGAGGTAGCTACAATGGACACTCCCGGGATGACAAGCCACTGTAATGTCTCTTTTGGCCTGTCGTGTCCAGTATGTTTGTTCTAGGGGGTTAGTACATATTTGCCAGGTTAGTTAGTAATTTAGTAATTTAGCACAATATTTTGACGCGACTGTCCCCGAACCCAATTACTCCATGATCACAGTCCAGGAAAAATACATTTGTTTTTCTCGGCCAAGTAATAACAAAAAGTCAGCCAAATTGTCCACGGATGACGTTATTCCTTATGGCCGAGAATAATCCAATGTTTTTTCCAAGACTGCGGGGGAAACCTAAAAATAAAAATAGATTAATAAAATGTTTTATAAAAAATTGCAAAAAAATGTGCTATTAGCTCTAGAAAACTTTGTTGATGTGAAGCAAATGGCGAACCGCGTTGCCAACCACTTTTTTAGTAGTGGAACCTAATTCATTCATGAATAAAACACGTCTTGTAAGTGCAAGCAAGTAAGGTAGATGGCATGTTCACAAAATCAGAAAATGTCGGATTAATTTAAAATTTTGAAATGTCGGACATTAAACAGGGACAATTGAATGGATGTATGCCAAATGATAACATATATAAAGAAATAATAGAGATGATAGGAGTAATGATACCAAATTGTCTGATCGACTAGAGGAAAAGAGTTAGCGGTAGTATAAGATGTAATAAGATGATTTGGAGAAAATGTCGGGTCTGGAAATATTCCAAGAATAAACCGAACATATAAATAGCCCATAGAATGGCAGAGAAGTCAGTATTGTATAAGTTGGTGCTGAGTGCTAATTAGTTGAGTCAACGATAATAAGGTGTATACGTGTATTTTACGTGTATAACAATTCATAATTTATAAGTGTACAGAAAAAAAGTGCACATAATTCAAAAGGGCAAAGGTAAAAGTGATTAAACCCAGTTATTAATGGAAAGAATATATTGTAACAAGCTGAATCTCTGTTTTGGTTAGGTCCAAGTGATCAAGAAGTTCCCGATTATTATCCTTCCGTAATCCTAATAAGAAGTGCTCTTCCAAAAGTGTGAACGGTTATAAATCAAAAGTTAAACGTTCACAAGAGGCTAGCAGGGACTAACCATATAAAAAGGACATTCCGAGAGTTTTAAGTAAAGGCCGCATTTGTAACGGTGACACTACGAAAAGAGGTAGGATCCAACCAAATATATTGTACCGCTATATTATTACTACCCGGTAACTAAGGACCTTTGTTCCCAGAAAAACTGGAGACTCACTCTATTATACCACGGTGCTCAGCACCATATTAACATTTACGTGGACTTAATAATACTTAATATTGGTGTGTGTTTGATATATGAAGTAATGAAAGCAAAACCTCCGAAAAATGGTATAAGTTAGCGGTAACAACAGAAGCTAACGTCCACGAATTTCGATCACACCACCAAAAAGCATATCAGTATTTAAATTCAAACGACAGTAAAACCCAATTTTGACGACTTAATTTTTTATATTTATTTATTATTTTTTTTTATAATTTATAGTTCATCATTGTTGTATGACATATTTTTGTGATTAGTTTTATTTTGTATCTAGGTTGGTTTTAAGTGAATATTTATTTGTATCTTAATTAGTCTATTTTTTTAATAATATTTATTTATAATAATATTGGAGTTAATTTTTATTACTGTTAGAAACCACAGTTGGGTTGTATACATAGCACCTAAAAGTTACAAATAGAGCTCTATTAGGAACGATTAGGAATTGGCTTTACCCGTAGTAGTCCAGTGAATTGGCCGTGCGCTAAAACTCTTTAGTGGGTTCTAAAGACCATAAAATTTGACTTCAATTTTGAATTTTGTTTTGGGTCAACAGACCTTTCGATTTATCCTTCGGAATACCTATGAATATAAGAAAAATAAATAGAATTAATTTTACTTGTAGTAATCAGAAATTGTTATACAGTAATTCCATACATAAATAAATTATCACTTTTAACTAGAAAGTATTAAATAGAAAATACATAGGATATACAAAAATAGCGGAGATAAGATTAGGTTTAGTTTTGTTTGTAATAAAAGACATGTGAAATAGTATTAAGAGAACATAATGGACTTTTGATTGAAGAAGGAAGGAGGGACTTAAAGGTGAGGTAAGTGGTATGTTATGGAGCGGGATTAGGGGTCAATATGATATTGATGGGAAGGGTTGACCAAGGTAGGGAGGGCGGCTAAATAGGTCATACGGGTTTGGATTTGATGGAGTTGGAAGGTTTTAAATTTAGTATTATTGTGGATGTAAACCTATCATCTAGATTACTGTGTACGTTCCTGTGCTGGGAATGCCGGATGGGACCCCCCCCCTTATGAGAGGCGGCGGAGCTGGCTCGAGTTACCTGAACATCTCCCAGCGGCGTAAAAGGGTCACGTAACAATATAAACTAGTCATTTCTACAAACAAACAGTTACGGCGGTTCTTAAACCAATAAAGACCTTCAACACGATCAAGAACTTAGATAAGAAAAATCTACGTCCGGTCAACGTAGATAACAAAAATATCCGTTCGTGTTTGAAACATTTTATAATCAAACGTATGTTTGGGCGCCATTATTTATGTGAAACTAAGAAACATACAAACGAATACTCGTAGAATGACACAGGTAGTTCTTTAAGTTAGGATCATTTCTCCGGAACTCTTTGATATCTACCTTTCTGAAAATTCCACTTTTCACCGGTCGGTATATTGATCGTAATATTCGATCCTAATAATGTTAAGTCCTATTAATGATGGCAAATATGAGTGGATCTTGTGACTTTTTTCCACCTGAGGTATATGAAAATATCCTACACCCAATTCACAGTCGATAAGGAACAGATTATTACGAAAACATTATACACGGTCAAGATCGTATGTAAGAAAAATATCCATCCCTGTTTGAAACATTGAAAAAACAAATGTGTTTGGGCGCCATTCATATGTGGAGTTGAGGAACATGAAGACGAAGAATTGTAAAGTGAAACAGATAGTTCCACACGTTTTGGATAATTTCTCCCGGACTCTTTAAAACGACCTTTCTGATATTCTACAACCAACGGTCGGTATATAGATAGTAAAATGCGATCCTAATAATTTTGAGTCACACAAATGATGAAATAGATGAGAGGATAAACGTCTACATAACTGATCTTATGATTTTCGTCCATCCATCCGCTTAACAAAATAATCGATGGTGAAGAGATTAGGACCTTTAACTACTACCCCAAGGTATTGGGTTTAAAGTTCGACAAGTTTCTTCATGCCGTCCGTGCAAGCTGAGTAGTAGGATTAAGGTCTTCAAGGCAGTAGTACAATCGCCTAGGCTGTAGGACAATACCGTATACCTACTATAGTGGGCAACCATCCATCCATCATCCGTAGCAGCAGCTGTCTAGACAGCTGTTGCACCATCCTAAGATCAGGATGGTGCAACCGACTCAATTTCTAATGGACACGAATAACCGACTTAATACCTAAACACATGCCCATCATGTTAACTAGGATCTCACGATAGGCTACACCTTTCCAACTTCCCCATGAACGGATAAAATTCAAACGGAATTATAAGACCATGAGACCCCGATTGAAACGGTAAAAATTATGTTTTGCTTAAATCTATTGGACCCTTGTATTTTCTCTTGAATTTCTGATTGTAATTTTCTTATCTACGAAGTCCACATTCCGCGGATCCCTTCACGAAATATGTCGATTTTTGTATTTTTCCCTGCAAAAAGCCAATTGGTCAAAAATCGATTTATGAATCCCTACAAATCAACCTGTTGCAACAACAACAGTACACATGTCAATAAAACAGCTGATTTGTTTTGGGCGCTAAACGATTTAAAAACCCCTTTCCCGTATATTTTTATTTTGTTTTGATTCTTCTTCATCTGTCATTTTGTCTTCTCCAACCATTCGTTAGCAGGTGGAACGTTTTAAAATTTGTCTTCAGACGCTGAATGAACATCTGATTTTGTTGTTGAGCATGTTTGTTTTGATTCTGGCTTTCGTCCAATTCCGCAACGCCGTCCAAAATTTTAAGAAACGGCATTGTAATTAAAAACAAAATAAACGACCTAAAACAAAGGACTGTTAAGGCGCAATTTTTTCCTTAATGGGATTCTGGTAATTTGCTGAATTAAAGTGCAAGTGGAAATATGTACAGCGCACAGTGGGCGAGACAACAATTGAAAACCATTGCATGGCTGTGGCGAAAACAACAGCTGAGACTGCTGAATGAGATGAGAACACACGTTGTGGGAGGCAGATCGAGGGCCCAATCAGAAATATTGGCAAGGGGACAGAGTGGCTCCTTGTGTGCTGTACAAAGGTATTATAGTTCAGAGAAGGACCACCAGATTACAACGGAAAAGGAAACAACCGTCACACAGGAAGATGATGATATATCCCAAAATCTCAACTTCAAACAGATGATGATGTACAACGAGGAAGATGATGATATAATGAAACGATTGAATGCCTGTGAGACATCGGAACAGGTAAATTGTTGTTGCTATTTGGCTTGTTATTATGTTATTAAACAATATTTACAGTTGATGAATATTGCAGATACGTTACTGGCAGAAATGCACAAGGAACATGTGGTCCAAACAATTGTCCTATTGTGGATGTTTAAAAGACTGAATGATGTGGCCCATCACAAGGTGATATTAGAGAAAATTATACCACAACTCGAGAAATATATTGAGGAATTGAATATAAATGAAATGAGCACCTGCTATTTGTATTTGCGAAAAATGGGCGAAGAGAATACCCATCCATTGCTGCAGCAATTGCTGACAAAATCCTTGAATATTGTAGATACTGAGGAAAATGTAGGCCTCTCTGCCTTATCACGCCTTGTGGTTGGCATTAATGTGGGCCGTAATTTCTTTACACCAATGTTATGTGCAAATTTCATCAAACATTTGGAGGGACACATTGCCAAATGCAGCACAGATGATGATGCCCGTATGATAGCCATAGTTATGTTGAATTTACAACCTCTTATAGATGTAGAACTTATGTCAATGTTTAAACAACGGGTACACAGCTTGATTAGCAGTGGGGAAATCTCGGCCTCAAAACCCAAGACCATTATAAAAATCTTGAATGTTTTAAATATGACAGTATGGTCGAATAGCCATGTGGATTTGATAAGGGAACTATTGCTAACAATTAAAACGGCCATACCCCAATTGGATGCCAATGATTTGAAAACCATAAGTCGGATATATCAATATCACATGGAACCGGCATGTTTGCAACAACCCTTATCCTTGGCGTTGGAGGAGTTGTTAGCCACTCATATGTCTCCTGAAACTTTGGCTTGTTATGTACCCTTTTCCCAGCCTAATAAACGTGATACCCTAACAAATGCCTTTAAGGCTCTGCTGGCCTCACCTGAAAGTTGGCAACAACCCAATGCAAGTGGATTTCTGTTTTCCACTCTACGATCATTGAAAATATCGGATAATAAAATATGTAATGCCTATTGGAATGGGGTGTTGAATGAATTGAATTCTGTAGGGGAGAATGAGACGCATACAAATTTCCTCAAACACTGTCATCGTTATATGAATTTCAATAATAATTTGGGAGGTACCTATCGGCATATGGCATTGGAAAAGAAATTGTCACAGCTGTGTATGCGGGCCATAGAACATGATGTTAGTGGGAGGATACCACAGACCTTTGCAAGATTGGCATCATTTGTGCTGGCATATGGTCACACACCCTACAGTTGGAAGAAATATCCAAATATTATCTTATCGAAGATTATAAATATGGCAGAACAATTTACGGTAACCGATTGTTTTCTGATCAGCAGGGGTTTGAGGATATCCCTGGAAATGAGGTAAAGAAAACATTTTTTTTTTAAATTTTAAAATTGAAATAAATTTTGAGTTTCATTTTAGATACCGCTATCAAATACCCCAATTGGCCAATATGCAGCTGGCCACCATAGACAGTGTATTGACAAGTTGTGCCGAAAGAGTTCTAACCGACAATAATTTACATGTAACGGATCTTAATGCCCTGGTGCGGATGTTAAGCAATCGGAAATGTGAGACACATTTTAATATTCCTTTACTATTTCGTACTGATCTCCTTTTTCTCCCCTTTTTCAGCTCTCCAAAACAGTGTCGTGTATCACAAAACCCTACAAAAATACAAAGAAATCCAATGCGAAGATTTAAATTCACGCATAATGCGTGATATGGCATATAATTTTTTGGCCACAAATTATTTGGTACCCGAAGTATTAGAGGTTATGTTTAAATATTTAGAAAATCACTATGAACACATTTTGGGAGAGACCGTGGAGAAATTACTATCGTGTACCTATAATTTGGGTTATACGCCGCAGTCGTATGCATCTTTGGAATATGCAGGATATATTTTACAGAGGTAATTTAAAAAAGGAATATTTTCCCTTAATCAAAACTAAAATATTTTTCTTTTAGAGATTTCAATTACATGAGCGGCCTGTCTTTGGTCCAAGCCTGTCTAGCCCTTTGCTATTACAAAATAATACCCGAGGAGTTAATAAATAAAGTATTTTGTGTTAAATTCATACAACGTGTTGAGGATGAAATACAAATGTGTTATTCAAAGGTAGGGCAAGTGCGGCATTGTGGAACATAACAATTAAATTAATATCTTTATTTGCTAGGCCACCTATCCCGAACGAGTACTGAACATAGTTATGCAGCTAAATCGTAGTGTTTGCTTAGATTTTCCAGAAGCGAATGTGCCCTGGTTCCAGCAAAATTTCATTGAAGCACAAATGAGCAAAAGTAAGTATTTACTTTGTTATTGTTATTTCTATATAAACAGATTACCTGCAACATATATTCCAAGCCCCGATTATTTATTTATTTTTTTCGAATTTAAAAAAAATCAAGGCTTAAATTATTTGAAAATATGGACGATTTTTTAAGCTTGACATTTCAAAGACTTTTTTTTGTAAAACTTATAATTTTATTAAAACAAATCAAATTAATTAAATTTAAATTATTATCTTTTTTTGCAAATATTTGTTGTATTTTTTACGTCAATTAAAAAAATATTACTTTTTTAATAGTAATTTTCGAATTAAAAAATCAATATTTCATTTGGAACCTTTTTTTCGTTACAGAACCCTTTGTGGAAACCCCTTTTAATGCAGATGTTAAAAATCTGCTAACCACTGTACTTAAGGATGAGTCATATTTCCGCTGTAATCACACAACGCCATATGGATATCAGGTACACATTTCAAAATTTATAATTAAAAAAAAAAATCTTTTAAAATTTTTCGGTTTATTTTTCTTCCCTCAGATTGACTTTGTGATAAATTTCGATAAGAATAAAACCCCCATCCAAGCACCTGCTGAAACGACCATGTTGGATCGGATAACAAAGTAAGAAGCTTTATGGAATATTTTGTACACAAAAATATTAGCTTTTAATTTCCCTCCCCAGAGTTGCAATATTACTGCTAAAACTTGATTCCTTCTGTGCAAATGACTTGAATGCCCTGCGCGGTCCCGATTCCTTGAAAATCAAACACTTGGAAATGATGGGCTACAAGGTGTTGCACATCAATGAACATGACTGGAATTCAAAATATATGAATGCACCCGGCGCCAAGACGAAATATTTAAAATGTCTGCTGCAAATATCAAATTGATAAGCATGAACAAACAAACAAAAACAAGACACAGTTTCCAAAAAATTCCCAAAAATCGTAGTTAATTTAAATTCTAGTGTTGCATAAATGTATAAGTAATGTTTTTTTATTATTATTATTGTTATATAATTGAAAACAAAATGAAAAAAATATTGTACAAAAAATTTTGTTGTTGTATTGGATGGAGAAATAGGGTGGAGGTAAACCCCTTCTCCTTAACTGCTGGTACACCATTCATAGGCGGTGTTAAACATAACCTGCCATGGACTGGCTTGAGATTTAACATTAAATCCTGGCGTAACATATGGCCATTGATACATGGCATGACAACGTTCCGGATGAGGCATCAAAGCCAAATGACGACCATCTGCCGAGCACAGACCAGCTATGCCTTCTGTACTACCATTGGGATTCATGGGATAAATTTCGGTGGGTTTATTATCATCATCGACATAATGCATTGCCACACATTTTTGCTGTTTCAGATTATCCAACACCTTGCGGTCACGGAATGAGAAACGTCCCTCACCATGGGCCACCCAGCAACCCAATACGGAACCCTTCAGTTTACTCAACATCATGGCCTTACTGTCGCCAATGCATACACTTGACCAGCGGCATTCAAAACGTTCGGATTTGTTGTGCAACAAAGCAACATCGGGTTTGGAAATCACCTCTTGACCCTGGGCATCATTTGAAGATCCCACCCAGCCAATTAAACTCATCAACTGGCAGCCATTGCAAATACCCAAGGAGAAGGTTTCGGGGCGTTTTTTAAATGCCGAAAATTGTGGGGCCAAGAGGTCACTGAACATAATATTGGCAGCCCAACCCTTGGCGGAACCCAAGGTATCGGCGTAACTGAAACCTCCGGGGAATACCACACCACGATAACGATCCAAAGAAGTTTTGCCTACAAAAATGGAAAATTAAAAATAAAATTCCGATATATTAATTCTCAAACTTACCACTCAACAAATCCGACATGGTAACATCGTGCACATCAAAATTGGCCTTCATCAGGGAGGCAATCATTTCACGATCACTGTTCACACCCTCTTCACGTAGCACAGCCACTGTGACCGTCTTGGCGGCCCGCTTCAAAATCAATTCCGAACTCAAATCAACCGAACATTGATACTTAGGTCCTGTACGATATTCCAAGGTATTAAATTCTTCAATGGCACAATCGGCATTTGCCTGCAATTTTTCCAATTCAAAACTGATACGTTCCCATTGTTGGTAGAGGGTCTTCACAGTGTTTTTAATTACTGTCTTTCCCTTGGCTGTAATTTTAATGGACTTATCCAAACCATAGCCCTTTGGTTGACCAATCAAATGATTTGGCACACCAAGATCACTGAATTTGCGTTGAATCTCCGCGGCATGTTTGCCTTCAACTTCCAGCACCCAACCACATTCTTCGGCATACAGGACAGCCAATTCGGGTAGAGTTCTTGCTGCCGCATCAACATTTTCCAATGGTATTTGTGCCAGGGCATTTGTGAGATCCAATTCCAGTCCTGACAAACCGGCAAAGGCCATTTCCAAAACACACACAAACAAACCTCCCTCACTGATGTCATGGCCAGCCAATAATTTTCCCTCAGCCAATAACTGTTGGGTCAAGTTAAATGCATTTACCAAAACCGGAGAATTCAACAAATTCGGGCACTCATTACCCTGTTGGCCATATGCCTGAGCCAAGGCACTACCACCCAATCGGAATTTATTCTCAATGTTGATCCACAACAAAACAGTTTCCTTTCTCTCGGCGGGACCTTTAATGTCGGGGGTTACCTTTACACTAACATCAGGACAGGGGGCGTAGGTTGAAATAACCAAGGTGCCAGGTGATTTTACAGTTTGCGCACCCACCTTTGCTGCCATGGACAAAGAATCTTTACCACCATCAACGGCAATTCGTAGCTCCTTCATAATGTTGCACATCTCCTGACAGGCATCAAACATGCGAGCTCCCTCACCAGGCAGTTTGGCAGCCCACATCCAATTGCCGGAACATTTTACATCACCCAATTCTGTGATCTTTACAAACACCAAATTTGAAAGGGCCTCAGCCACACTCATACGGGCCATTGCTCCAGCATCCAGCAAACCCTTAATGGGTTGGGTACCCAACGAAGTGGCAATACCTTCTTTGCTGAAATGTGACACCGTCACCAAACCAAAATCAGCCAAGGGGGTATGCAAGGGGCCCACACATTGCTGCTGAGCAATCAAGCCTGTAACACAACGATCCACCTTGTTGGTCAAGTAACGTTTACTGCCCACCGACACCAAACTCAACACCAATTCTAAACTTTTGCCGAAATCGAAATTCTTATCGAAATGCAGAGGTGTCAACGAATTGCTCAGCCTTTGCAATTGATATTCCCGTTTGGGCATATCGCCAAGGACATGTTTCAGCTCCAAATCGAATGGTATGGGACCCAGTTGAGAGCGATCAAAGCCATCGATGAGGACCTTTTCAAAATCAGCATCACTTTCAATGAGAGTAACACGGCCATCACCGGTGACAATACCAACAAAACTGATTTGGCAACGTTCTCTACGGCAAATACTCTCCAAGAGAGGACGATCTTCAAATTTACACAAAATGGCATCGTTTTCTTGGTACTCAGCACCCCACAATTCCAGGGCATTGATGGTGGGATCGCCTAGCTGGAATTCCTTGGAGAAAATTACAGCACCAGCAAAGCCAGGTTCAACCAATTCTTTCAATACATTGCCATTACCGCCAGCACCCTGCGAAAAGATAAAATTGAATTAAGAAAGTTTTTAATTTATTTTCAATTTCCAACAAACCTGATCATGAATTGCAATAATGGGATTCTTATCACCCATTTCAATACAGGCCCTTACGACACGATTTAATTTATTTTCCATTTCAGCATCTCCTCGTTGGACGGCATTGAAATCCAATGAAGAGTCATTGGAACCTTGGACTTCAACGGAACTGGCTGCGCCACCACCCACACCAATGCGATAAACAGGGCCGCCAATTTTGGCCAAGAGCATGCCTGAAATAAAAAAAATAAAAAAATTGTTTAAGATTTTTATAAAAAAAAATTAGATCCTCGCCAGGCGTGGATTTAAAAAAAAAATATTTTTAAAGGATCCAAGGCGTCGATTTTTTAAAAAATATTTTTAAAGGAATCTCACAATGCGTGGATTTTTTACGATCCAATTTTGTTTAAAAAATATTTTTTAAAAAAATTTTCTAGGATCAAATTTCTTTTTTAAAATTATTTTTTTGGATTCAAAATTTTTAAAAAAATATTTTTTATGATCCAATTTTTTTTAAATATATTTTTTTATGATCTAATTTGTTTAAAAAAGTGGTGGATTTTTAATTTTTCTAATTCAATATTTTTCAATCTTTTGAACTTACCCTTCTTCGGATCAAATTTCTGACGCATTGATGATTCCATGGTACCCATGCCGCCACTAAACATAATCGGTTTTACATATTCATCACGTTCTCCTTGGGCATTGGTGAGGCCATAGGAATTTACAAAACCCGTAATGACAGGTTCACCAAATTTATTGCCATAATCCGAGGCACCATTACTTGCCTCGATTAGGACTTTTAAGGGTTTGGCAAACGAGGCTGGATATTCATAGGAGGCATTTTCATAGGGTTGAGGATATCCAGGAATATTCAAACAGCCAACACAATAGCCAGCCGTACCGGCAATGGGTATGCCACCACGACCCACACCTTGGACGTCTCTGGAAGATAAAAAAAAATATTATTGTTTTTTGAAAATGAAATGATTTCGAAATATTAACCTCAATCGCCCACCAGTTCCAGTGGTGGCACCACTGAAAGGAGCCACAGCCGTTGGCATATTATGCGTCTCGGCTGTGAAAATCAAATCATTGTCCACCGTTACCAAAGACATTGGTCCCGGACCATCAAAACACTGTGGACGTATGGTAACATGTTTAAAACCACGTATGGCACTGCTGTTATCACTGAACTTTATGGTGTTATTTGGATTCGAATTATTCTGGGTATCCATGATCATGCGTATCAACGACTGCGGCTGTTCCACACCATCAACAATCATTTTACCACGGAAGAACCAATGACGCGAATGTTCACTATTACTTTGGGCACAATCAAACAACTCCACAGTGGTGGGATCTCTCTTTAGGATATTTTTAAAAAGATTTGTATAATAATCCAAATCCCAATCACCGAAGGCCAATCCCAGCTTGGCATTAACTTCTTCCAAAGCTTTGCGTCCCTTTTCCATCACGGGTACCTTATACCATGATTCTTGAGATTGTGGCAGTTGTTCGTTGAAACTATTCACAGGCAAATTGTCTTTTGTATAACGGCATTCGGTCATACGATCACTAAGCAGATCTACTAATTTATCAACATTTGGTTGATTGCCGGCAAAGCCGATTAAATAACGATCGGAGGCTTCAAGGCGTATTACATTTTCTAGACCGACATTTTGACAAATATTAACACAGTTCGTTGAAAATGGTGTTGAAAAATTAAAACGTGGACCAATTTCGATTAGCAGAGATTCTTTAGTCTCCTTGGGCAGTTGTGTCGCTTCACACAGACTTTTTTCTTCACCCTGTGGATGTTTCAACAACCATTTTAATAAGGTGATCGATTTTTCCTCAAGGGGTTTGACAGTTTCTACATGATAACATTTTTCCACCTGCACGGAATTGATGTTGGAAAAGTTCTGTGGGCGGGAAAGAAAAAAAAATAAATTAGAAAAGTAATAATTTAAAAAATGGAAAAAATTTATAAAACATTTTTATGCAATTAAATATTTTTAAAAGAACCTTACAAACTTGAATTTTTGAAAATAGTTTTAAATGACTAGCCTACACTATTTTGGGATTTAAAAATAATATTAAAAAAAAATAATAATAAAAAAATATTTTTTAAAATTTTTTTATAGTAGCCAACACAAATAAGAGATTTTTTAAAAAATATTTTTTCAAGGATGATCACCGGATTTGATTTTTAAAAACATTTTTTTTTAAGGATAACATGCGCTTTTAAAAATAAAATTAAAAATATTTAATTCCTACTACCATCAATTAATCCGTAGTGTGATAGGTAGTCAGACCTTAAATTGAACTCAAATCATGTTAATAGCGTTTTTCCAAATACACGTTTCTATCTTAGAAATACAATTTAATTGGTAACCGGGAAAATTCAAATCGACGAACTTTTCCTATTTTTTTAAATTCGAGGTTACACTGAAATTGTCAAAATATTTAAATAAGCCCTCAGGAAAGATTTGCCTTACACTGGCAGTTATGTAACAACACAGATGATTTACTAAAACATGATTAATTATAGTAAGGTCTATAAATAGACCCCATCTACATAGATATGAAAGATATTTCAGATACTCACCGCCTTCAATAGTTTCAACAGCTTTTGGCGATGGACCTCATCACAGGCCTCAGTTGTATAAAAACGAATAATAGCCATTTTAATTTTCCTTTAATTCTTTAATCGAATGAATGGATGTGGTTTTAAAATCGTCGACACTCCACAATAGTCACCTACCAACTGTAGATTTAATTTGATTTGTATATGGATCAATAGCCAAAGTAACCTACACTGTCTGACGACAAAAAAAACAAAAACACATATATAAACATATTCACATATATTTATATATGCATGTAGTACTTACGAACAGGTTTCTTCTTCTTGGGTATTTACTTGTTGCTGAGCTTCTACTCTGGGGTTCCTTGCTGGGGGTTATCAGTTGCAACAGACGTAAATATTTTTTTGCATCAGGCTGGAAAATATATAAAAATGTTGACGTTGTTGTGGAGCATGCACCAACAAATCTATGTAACGAGAAGTATTATTGTTATTGTTTTTAATCAATCAATTGATAAGAATACAGTAATAATATTTTTCTTCAATCGACATTACCTTAACTTGATGTTATTCACAAACCACAAATGTACATCATGTCGATGACATCTATTTGCGTGAAATCAATAAAATGTAGTTAAAAATTCAGCAAATTTTCCAAAAGATCTGTAAAAAATTGCCAAAAACTACCGCACACAAATTTATTTGCCGGCCTACACGTGCTAGCGCTTGAAATGTTTTTAAAAGAATGGTCTCCCCCTTTTAATAGTTGTGGGGGCAAGTTATGTTATGCTGGAGAAATAATCATGTTACTCTCTCGCTCTCGTTATCATTAAATGTTGTTCATAATGAAGATAATGACAAAACGCCAGTTGGCAATACACAAACAAACTGTTAAATTTGTTGCCGCTACAAGAGACTGAAATACATTGCCGCTACAAGAGACTGAAATACATTCACAGGTGAGTATAAAAACTCAAAGTTTTTAAATAGATTTAATTAAATTAATATTAAAATAAATAAATATTTTAATATTTAATAAATATTGTATGTCGTAGATATTAATCTTTCTTATTTCTCATCCTCTTTGAATGAAATCCCATAAACAAAAACTGGTTGGTAACACGTAAACAACTGTTAAATTTAACGCCGGCACAAAAGACTGTGCTATCAGTTCATGTGTGAGTGTCAATATATAAGAAGAAAAAGCAAAAGCATTAAATAGATTTAACTAATTTAATATGTAAATAAATAAATAGTTCGGTGTATAATAATATTTATCGGGATTTATTTTTGTAAATAATAATTATTTTTCCTTTCCACCCTCTCTCTCTCTTTAACTCATAACAGACTAGTTGGCGCCACATAAACTTTTAATTTAACGTCGACAAAAGTGAAATGAGGACGTTATGGTATGTGTCAATATATAAGAACAAATCCCCAAAGTAATTAATAGATTTAATGAATATAAAATATATTTATTGAATATTTAATAATTACTATTTTTTATGCTGTAGATATATTAAACATTCTCCCTCTGTCTCACTTCAAATGACTGGTCATAAACAACTGTTTAAATTTCTAACGCCGATAAATTAGCACATTAGATGTCAAACGGCAAGTTAGCGTGGTTTTACACTGTTGGTGATTGGGATTGGTGTTGAGAGTTTCTCTCTCTCTTGAGAGAGTAATTAGAGTTGCGCTATTTTTAATTTTGTAACAAGAGTACTTTTGTTCACAAAAGGTACGAATTGACATAAACGTACCAAAACAAAAATTACAGTTTTTTATTATTCTTGAATACATTTACGCTTAAATTATAACATATAGTATATATGCAAATAACTGGTATAAATATTGGCCAATATTTCTCGATAATTATGATTTATTACCATTCGAAGTGGAATTTTAGGTACCTTTTCGTACTGTTTTTGTTCCTACCTGTGGTAATGTTTTCCAACACAATTAACAATTTACCACTGAGAGAGAGAAACTCTCAACACCGATCCCGATCCCGATAAATATAAAACCACGCTTAGCAACGTGGAACGTTTTTCAATGTTTAATCAGTCGGTGAAAAAGGCGCTCATATTATAGAAAATAAGTCGCTTTAATTATAATTTTGCAAATTGCACTGTTGTTTGATTAAAAACAGAAAACACAGTGGGAGAGTAGAAACGAAATAACTGTTTCGAATAAAATTGCAAGAAAATATGGCTCAAAATGCACCAGCTTCTGTAGATGTGCAGGTATTATCAACAGCATGCATACTTGAGACAAGATTTGGCATGCTTTTTTTTGTCAAACAATTGAAGACAACACACAACACTATTAATAATATTAATATTTTATTAATACTTATTATTTCTTTTCAGGATATACAATTTAAATTACATGGCAAATTTCCACTATTTTCTGAATGCAAAGAATTAAAGAGTTTAGTCAGCCTATTGGCTGTATCGTCAACAAAGGGTCTGTTGTTTGCCGGCAATCCAAATGTGAAGGAATTAAAAGGTGGCATCAACAACACATCAGAGAGTAGAAGTGAAATTTAATATTAATGTTTTTGTTTTACAGTTATTAAATTAAAAGATATAATCGATTACAAAAGCAATGGCAAGGATCTTCCGGTGCGCACAATCCCCTTGCCGGGTGAACCCAAGGCCATGGCATGTAGTTGTGACGGATCGATGTTGGCTGTTAATTGCATGCAAAACAATACTGGATTTTTGCAAATTTACCAAGTTGATTGTTTTCTGACACCGGTAAGTAAATCGAAAATGATATAAAAATTTTAAATAATTAATTTCATTGTTTGGCAGAACGTAAATGTCATCTACAATGTCCCAGTGTCGCCGGAAAGTTATGTTTTTGCCTTGCAATTACTGTGGAATCCCGTTATTGCAAATAACATTGCTTTGGTTTTGAATGATGGCTCTGTTACTATGTTCACCTTGAATCCGGGTGGCAATTACGATAAAGTTACCTTGGGCAAGGAAAATCAAGTGAAATCCGGTTGTTGGTCCCCAAAAGGAAAACAAATAGTTTTTGGTTTTCCCGATGGCAAATTACAACAATTTAAACCAAACTTACAACCGGCACGTGCCATACCTTGTCCGCCGGGTATACATCCGGGACCATTCGATTGTATTGCGGTTCACTGGCTTTCCACATTTCAATTTGCTGTTATATTCTTGCAAAGAGGCGAGGAGATGTGCCCCTCACTCTTCATTGTTAATGCACCGAAGGCGGGCAATCCCAGCTATATAAATTATTATGATATTTGTTATAGTGCTCCGGGACCACGTACACAGCAGCTGACATTTAATCACATTTCACAATGGAATTTGTTATTGGTTTCGTCGGCAAATGGTGTGGAGGTTGGTATCTTGGGAACCAAGGAGTCGGGTGAGAATCCCACATGGATTCAATATACGCTATTGGATGAGGCACGTATAGAAATGCCATTAACCGAGTCGAAAGATGAAACATTTCCCATGGGTTTTGTATTTGACACGGCCTCCTCGCATCAAGTAAAAATGGGTGAACAAATGCTGCCGGTAATGCCCATGATACATGTTCTGTCGACCCATGGGCATTTGGTGTCGTTTAATTTTTTGAATTTATCCCCCAATGCTGTGGGAGTTTGTTCTCCACCACCGCCACTCAACGATACATCTGGTGGGTTTAAACCATTGCAACAAGAGACAATGGCCAGTGGTCAAGCAAATGTGGACAAATCACAGGGTGTACAAAGAGCCAGTGGTGGTGGTGGTTTTGCTGATATGACATTTACTTTGGGTTCAAATATGGTGACATCAACTCCAGCTATTGTAAGTAAAGTAATTTATGGAACAAAATCTTAGATTCCTATTAAAAAATAATTACTTTTAAATTTAGAAAGATAAACCGGTACCCATGTTTGGTGGCCTGGCTAATGCCTCATCTAAGCCAAGTGGTGTGGCTTTTGTTTCCACTGCTGCAGCACCTGCAAAGACAAATACAGCAACAGCGCCAGCAATGACATTTGGTTCAGGAAATACAACATCTTTTATGCCGCAACAATCTCAAACCTCGAACATGTCGGCGCCCAAATCAGGTTTTGGTACACAGTCAGCTGTACCATCCTTTGGTGGTTCCCAATCTGGTTTTGGACGTAAGACATGTAAATTTGTGTATACCAATTTATATTTCAAATATTTCTTCTGTTTTTTTAGTTAAGCCTGCTGAAAAGCCATCATTGCCGCCTCCACCATCTGCTACAGATAAAAATGTCACCAAAAATAACTCCAATCAACCATTGTATACAGTGCCACCAACCTTTAAGGCACCTCAAGCGGTCCAAGTGACCACCAGTAAAGCACCATCATCGGCCACGACAAAAGTCAATATGAATATGGGTGAAATAGATGATGTTGTCAAGCAAATGATTGCCATTCAAATAGACGCTTTCGATCAGGAAATTAAACAGATACAAATGCAAACCATGAAGCTAATGGAGAATGTAAGTAGAAGACTCCGTGAGTACGGGGTATTTTTGATATTCATAAAATCCTTTTTTTTTTGTAGATTGGTACCCCCGATGAAATCAAATCATATACCAAACAACTAAATGATCTCCAGGAGATTATAGAACAGGCCGATGATCATGAATTTGAGCAGGATGTACAAAGCTTACGACATTCCATGAATGAATCATATGCCATGTTGGCTGAATGTCGTTCCAAATTGAATATGTACAAAAATCCAAAGTATGTATGAATAGGCCTTGAAAAAAAAACCGAATCATAATTTTATATCTCTCCACAGCCTATCCCGTTTGACATCATCATCTACCGCCGATCCGGCAAATAGACGACAATTGGCTAAATTACAGGCATTTATAGCCACCAATCAAACTCAATTGAATCAAGTTAATTATTTAATTGATGCTCAATGGTCTCAGTATCAGGATGTGGTCCGGCGTAATACCAAAAATCAAATGCACATACCCTGTTTGGATGGCATCTATCAACGTATGTCAAAACTGAAGGATCTATTGGCACGACAACGCACCAAAATGAATCACATTAAAAGTAAATTGAAACAAAAGGGTTTGAATTATAAACCAGCATGCAGCGATACGAAGGATGTTACATTAGTGGCTGTGGGTGCATTAACTAAAAATCAAAAGTAGGTATCTTGATAAGAAAATTTTTCAACAGAAACTACATTTCAAATTATTGCCATATTTCAGCACCATGGAATCATTGGCCGATTCAATACTCTCGATGAGTCTATCACAAGTTGTCTCTCAATCACATTCGAAACTATCCGAAAGCAAATTGAATGCCATACGTAACTTCACCAAACAACAACAGCAAATAGCAATAATAAAGGCCAAAAGACCAGATCGGGTGGGTCTAAAATCCGAGGTCATTTTGGAAACTAAACTGGAAAGTGAACGCAAACAAAAGGAAAAAGAAATGAAGGAAAAACAAATACAACAGCAGCAAATGGTACAAAAACAACAGGCAGCTCCCACGCAAAAATCCCAAGCTCCAAATAACATGAAGCCACCCAGCCAACAAATGCCACCACAAAATGTCCAGCAAATGCAACAAAATCAACAGCAGACATTTTTGGCCAAACCTACGGCCTCTAAACCTGCTTTATTGCCCAACGCAAGTCAACCCTCACCCTTCATTACCCCCAATCCGGCAACATCCAGTACTTTGTCATTTGGCGGTCAAAGCTCTTTTGTAAAAACCTCAACAACGGTGTCGATTAAACCTGATGATCCCTCAAAACTGGGCTCCTCCTCGACATCACCATTTACCGCTTTCGGCTCATCATCAGGTGGAATTTCATTTGGTCAAACGGCCAAACCAACCCCGCAAAACAATGAAGGGAAAGAAAACCCTGTTGCCGCCGCTACGCCCATTTCATTTTCTGCCAAGGTCATTGGTGGTAATGATTCTAAAAATAAGTCAAATACATTGGGAGGTGGATCTGCAATTGGTGGCGGCGATAGTAATTTACCCACACAAGGCTTTGCTGCCTTTTCGGCCAACAAGCCAGCCAATTTGACGAATGAGCCAAGCAATGCATCTGCTGCAGCAGACTCTAAAAAATCAGAAGAACCCAAAGAAAGTTTCAGTTTTGGTAATATTGCTGCCACAATTACACCAGCATCGACTTCTGCCGCATCTCCTTTTGGTGGTTTTGGGGCAAAATCCACCACTGCAGCTGCAACAACAGCTACAACTCCAGTTGTATCTTCATCTTCGGGGGGTATGTTCTCCTCCTCAACCTTTGGTTCTGGCTTGTCATTGTCTACAACAGCCAAACCATTTGCCTCTTTGTCAACGGAATCATCCACACCATTTGGTGGTGGTGGTGTTGGTTCTGGTACAACATTCAGTTTTGGAGGTTCTACCCCGGCAACAACCACAGCAAATATGTTTTCATCCTCAACCAAACCGGCGGAAACCACTGCTAAGCCGCAAGACACAAAAGTTTCCTCTTCCCAAGCGCAAAGTTCCGCCACGGCCAGCACCACTTCAAGGTTAGAATATCGATATAACTGAAGTCCAACCAATACAACATAATTTTCTTTTATTTCATTTCCAGCTTTACATTTGGAGGTCTATCTTTGGGCAATGCAGCCTCCAACACCAGCAGTGTTACCACAAGTTCAGCTCCGCCCAATGTTACGATCACCTCCTCTGGGCTGCAAACATCAAATGCTGCTTCTAAACCCCCTACTACGACTACCACATCCAACGCACCGGCTGATTCTTTATTTGGATCTTTGAATATATGTAAACCGGATACCGGAAAACAAGGCGATGCATCCAAACCCCCGGCCAATATATTTTCAGGATTTGCCACAGCAACTTCGGCAACAACATCATCGCCATTTTCCTTTGCCACCAGTAGTGCTCCAAGTGATGGAGGAAAATCGGCAACAACAGCAACTACGCCAGTTTTTGGTGCAGCAACAACCACCACCACCGCTGGAAATATTTTTGGCAAGCCAGAAGCTACCACAGATGCCACTACAACTGCGACAACAGTCACCACAACATCTGCCTCTGTAGTTGCATCTTCCACTGGTACTTCCACAACATCGGCAGCCCCGGTATTTTCATTTACCTCGGCAGCAGATCAAAAAGGTTCGACTATACCAATGTTTGGTTCCCTCTCTGTTACGTCCACTGCGGGCAATACTGCTGCCGCAACTACCGGACCTACTACCGCCACCAAACCTGGTAATATCTTTGGTGGTGCAACAAGTACACCTTCATCCATATTTGCTCAAGCGGCATCAGCAACATCGACAGCCGCATCGACTACTAATACATCCCCCGCACCCATATTTGGTGGAGCTGCCGCCGCCGCTTCTTCGGGACATTCATTGTTTGGGTCCACAGCATCGGCCACAACAGCTGCTTCGACACCCAGCACAGCTTCAATATTTGGCGGTAGTACAAAACCAGCCGAACCTCCTGCATCCACCGGTGGTAGTATTTTTGGTGGTATACCGAAACCGGATCAATCTGTATTTGGTAGTTCTGCAACAACGCCAGCAGCCACAGCGCAGCCGGCGTCAGGTTTATTTGCTGCTGCAGCGGCTGCAACTAAACCGGCAGCAGCTCCAACGGGTGGTAGTATTTTTGGTGGAAGCACAGGCAGTGTTGGTTTTGGAGCTCCTGCTGCCACAGGTGGTTCAATCTTTGGTGGCGCTGCTGCCACCACTACAACAAGCCCATTCGGTTCTTCGGGTAATACTGCAGGTTCTATATTTGGTGCTGCAGCAGCTGCTACCAAACCAGCAGAAGGCGGAAATATATTTGGCTCACCCACCCAGCAGTCGGCATCAAGTGGCGGTTCCATTTTCGGTAAAAGTACTTTTGGACAAACAGCAGCGGCATCCGCTACAGCATCAGCTGGTAGCATATTTGGTGGTGCTGCCGCACAACCCACAGCAACTGGACCTTTTGGAGCACCAGCGGCGGCGGGTGGTGGTTCAATATTTGGTGGATCAGGAAATGCCGGTGGTAATGCCGCATCTGGTGGCTCAATATTTGGCGGCGGTGGTGGTAATACTGCTGGCGCTCCAGCATTTGGTGCAACAACAGGTTCAACAGGTTTTGGATCATTTTCACAACCCTCAAATGCACCTGCCTTTGGTTCCCCAAGTGGTGGGGGTGCTGGATTTGGCGCAGCAACCGCCAGTACTGGGTTTGGATCACCACAACAATCGGCATTTGCCAAACCTGTTTTCGGTGGTCCACCCACCTTTGGTAGCCCACCGGCATTTGGAGCTCAACCCACATTCGGCGGTGCACCAACCTTTGGCAGCCCTAAGTCTGGCTTTGGATCATTTGCTGCGGCGGCGACGGCTACATCACCAACCACTGGTGGTTTTGGTGCTGCAGCCAATCCGGCCACAGCCAAGAGTAATATCTTTGAAACATTGGGTTCAACAGATACTGGTCTATCGTTTGGTAATTTGGCTCAGTCAACACAGCCTCCTAATCAACAGAAACCAGCATTTGGAGGGTAAGTTTGAAAAATGAGTAATTTTCGGAAATTTTTAAAAATGCTAATAAATGATTTTTTTGTGTCTTTTCAGTTCATCTTTTATGAGTTATCGTTGAATTTTCTATTTCTTCTTTAGTGTACATGTGTGAAATCGTCGAAAACAAAAACAACAAAATCGCAAAGTGATTGTTACAATTGGTATGAGTGTCTGTCAGTCAGAATGTTTTTTTCACAATAAAGGAATTTTCATATTCACCTAAAAAACCAAAAATAATGGAAAATTTTGTTTTCGTTTTGAAAAAATGGAACTTGGAGTTTTCCCAAGCCATAAGAGCTACGGTATTTGCCTGTGAACATGATAAACTCTGCCGTAAGGTACATGAAGAGCACTCAAGCACAAAATAGTACGATAGCGGTGATGATTAAACATGTATTCTCTAGTTGCAGTCATTTTCTATGATGATCTCGCAGTTACGATCTCACACACTCAGTTCTATTCAACAGTGATGAGGATGCAAGTTTAGTCTTGAACAGTGATGCTCATAATACTTGCATTTGTATGTTACTCTCCTGCATATGCTAAACAAACGGGAAATCTAAATTGAGAGAGAATACGCGGGGTTTGTTGTCATGAAAACGTAAAGAGTAGAGCAACACTGGTCTTGAAGACAACTTGTCATCATTTCGCTATGTCAGATGATTAAAATACTGGCAAATTAATTTATATCGTAATACCTGTATTTAGATACCCAGAATCCCCAACGATACCGACAATTTTTTGTTTGTCCTCCATTCTTAGTTTTCCTTTTCATGTATGTGTCGTCTCTCGTCCATTACTCTCAATTTTCCTACGGGGTACTGTTACATTAAACGGCGCCGGCATTGTTTTGACTCTGCATGCTGTACATGCCTGACGCCGTTACTTAATTTCAATCTGGCAATGTCACTTAAGCCCTTTGTACATATTAGAGTCTAAACACAACCAGAGAGTGTTGAGTCGGCAACAGTCATTTCTTATTGGCAAGGGGAAATCCCGACGGCTGACGACGTGTTTTTAAGGAATTAATAATAAAATGGAAGGAACTTTGATCGAGGAAATAAAAATACGACATTTTGTATAACTTGGAATCTCCTGATTACAAAAACACAAGCAAAATGGAATAAATTTGGAAGAACTTTGCATGAAAACAAATAATTGACATTTTGTGCCTCTAATTCTTTCGTTGGGTTTTCACGCCGGCGAAAATGTTTGCCGCTGACTCCTGGCTCTTATTAAGCCCTTTATACTTTTTTGTTCTTGTATAGGATTCTCTTTCTTTGTTGTAATTTATTTTTAGAAGTACCAACAATATTTAAGGGTAAATATTACGACCCCGGTATAAATCTGGAATGAAATTAATTTAATAACATTTACTTAGTGGGTGGCAGCTTCCTCCAAAACAAAAAACAATGCCTGGCTTTCAAGAATCCCTCCAGCAGCAGCAACAACAAAGCCGCTTGGATACACTAGATGTTATACAGGAATATTTTGCCAAATTAAATCCCATTGCCGAACGCATCTATCACGATATAAATGATACCAAAGTGAATTATGGCAAGCTGTGGGATAGTCTAAATTATCATGAACAAACAGATATAATCAATGATACACTAATTAAGCCGGAAATTTCATTACATTATTTCGATAGCTTTGCAACACCCCAGTCCAGCTCTACAAAAAGTCAGCGGACATCCACCGATTCCTTAGCAGCCATAGTCTTAAATGATTTTAGTGGAAAACATCAGGAGTCCAAAGAAATTGTCCCCCTTAGCAGGCAATTTGATGCCAAATATATGAAAAATGAAGGACACGGCTTTGATGGTCGTGATCTGAGGACATTCTCCATACAATCGGTGGCAATGAAAATCATACAAGATGATAATATTGGCAGCTTTCGTGACGAGTATTCAAGGCCATTTAGTTATCGCACCAAGTCACAAATTAATTTACATTTATTTTCGGGAGATGGTGGGGGTAGTCATCATCAGTCGAAGCAGACACCCCAGCTATCTATATTTTCATTAGGCAACAAAGATGCGAAACAGGAACCCTTGGATGCTGAATCGAAAAAGACATTGCTTAACTATCAAAGGCTGCAGAATGAGCTGAAGAAGAGTCTAAATCAAAATATACAAAAGGCCAGATTAAATGATGGCGGCGGACAACAGCAGAAAAATTGTGGTGGTGGGGCAGGCATCAAACCAAGTAGTATTACAAGTCCCGCCATGGATATAATAAAAAATCGCAAAAGTATTAATAATTTGGATTCTCCGACTAGTGGGGATAACGAAAAACCAAACAGCAAGGCATCGGTGTCATCATCATCCAAACCAAATAAATCCAATTCCTCTTCAATAATACAGGTATTTCTGAATTCAAATAACAGTTCGGCACCACCATCTTCCAGTGTTGTTAACTATGCTGTGTACAGCGACAGTTTTTTGGATGGTGAAGAGAAAACAAATTTAATGCAAAATTGTGCAAGGGGCCAATTTCTATTGTCGGCCTCATCTTCATCCACCGCCACCTCAGAGGATGATGAATATGAGGTGGGTAGGGGAGCGGATAAAACTATCGATTCCGAGGAAGTTTATCTTTTGGATAGGGATATACGTAAGGGTTTTGATTTTCTTAATAATTGGTAATGGAAAAATGGGTGCTGGTCACGGCAAGGGGTGGGCGTACCTTATGGCTCTATGGTATGGTAGCTAGCTATAGATGATGGGTTTAATTTCCTTACCCTTAAGCGAGAAGAGAGCGTAACTGCGAGAAGATGAACTCTTAAAGATTTTTATGAGGATTTTTTTTGTCTGTATTATATTTTGGAATAACGAATTTCCTTAAAAATATATTTTTTATTATTTTTTTATAAAAATTACATTTTTTATATTTATACTTTTTTATGTATTTAATTTTTAATCTATTTTATCCAGACAAGGGGCTCCTTACCTCTGCTCTTCTAATTTTTTAACCAAATGCCATATATAAAAAATCGAATAGCATTTATTGGCACTAAAAAACTTCTCTTTTTGAAACACTTTGTCATAATTATTTTTTTATATACAAAAGTCATATATATTTTGGATAGATATTCTCTACACTATAGATATATTAAAATATAAGAGACTAACATATAAATATATAAATAGACTGATTAATTACATACATACATTAACTATAACAAAACAACATTAAAAACGGCATCTATTGATTTAAAACAAAATAACAAAAAAAAAATACGAATACAATTTTCCTAATACAACTAATAAATATATCCAAAACATGTTGTAGTCTTAACTAGTAATATATAACTTTTAAAAGCTTTGTATTGTATCAAATTATTATACGAGAAAAATAAACAAAAATATATACAAAATAAATATATTTAAAAAAAATTATAATAAAGGAACATTTTATTACAACAAAAAACAAATCCCATTAAGGATAGTCTATATTGAAATGTAATTAAACCAAATATTTTTTGTTATCATGTAGACTAGGTCCATATGCCGAACACGAATGATAAAAATTTTGAATATTTTCCAATTAAAAAAAATATCCTTTATATGAAGGCCTATATTAAAATGTTATTACAGCAATTATGTTTTTACCCTCCAAACATTGTTTGCCCAAAACAAAATTGTCATAAGGTTTCAGTTAATATGTCAAGGGTTTCAAATGATGGTCATGGCATAGTAGAAAATCTAAATATAGAATAACAGTTGAATAAGAGGGAGGGAATGTAATGCTGCAAATACGTAATAATTTTTTTTCACAAGCAGATGCGCAATTTTCTTCTTTTTGTCTTTCGTTTATTTTTTCATTGTTTGGCTTGTCATCGTCTGGTCTATATTTAGGGAACGCATAAAATTAGAACAATTTTTTTTCTTTGGTTTGTAGAGGATTACCTTTTGGTTACTCAGATTACATCATATAGTAGTGAAGGTTCATGTAAATATTTAGATTTAAAAAAAAAAAAAAAATTAAAAAAATTTTTTTTTTTTTTTTGAAATCTACGCCTTGAAAAAATATTTTTTTTAAAGTCTACGCCTTGAAAAAATATTTTTTTTGAAATCTGCTCCTTGAAAAAATATTTTTTTAAAATCTACGCCTTGAAAAAATATTTTTTTTTTAAATCTACGTCTTCAAAAAATATTTTTTTAAAATGTACGCCTTGAAAAAATATTTTTTTTAAATCTACTCTTTGAAAAAATATTTTTTTTAAAATCTACGACTTGAAAAAATATATATTTTTTTAAATCTACGTCTTGAAAAAATATTTTTTTAAAATGTACGCCTTGAAAAAATATATTTTTTTAAATCTACACCTTAAAAAAATATTTTTTAAAAAAGTCACGCCTTAATAAATATTTTTTAAAAAGCCACGCCTTAAAAAAATATTTTTTAAAAAAGCCAAGCCTTAAAAAAATATTTTTTAAAAAATCCACGCCTTAGAAAATATTTTTTTTAAATCCACGCCTTAGAAAATATTTTTTAAAAAATCCACACCTTATAAAATATTTGTTTTGAAAAATCAATTCACGCCTTAAAAATATTTCTAACAAATTGACGCCTTAAAAATATTTCTCACAGTTTTCTCTCAACACTCGTTGTGAACAGACTACGTTTTTTACTCAGCGCTTGTTTAAATATTTCTCTTTACAACAACTTCCCTGTTATAAGTGTTTTTAAGTGATATTCAAGAACTTTGCTTGACATGGCATCCTCCTCTGGGGGCAATTATTATAAGGACTTAGATCCCGATGGCGGTCCTAAATCTCCCAAAAGGAAAAAACAGAAGACGGGTGCTTTGGCTTTGGGAAATTCCTTAGATTTCCCGCTCTTGCCTCAATATAAAAATAAAAACCAATCATGCCCCAAATACATTGTAATGAAAACTAAAAACACTGAAAAAACTCTAAAATCGTTCAACATATTTCTGTTATCGAAAGCAATCCAAGGAATTTCTGCGGAACCCACTCTAAAAACCATCTTCACACGTGACGGCAATCTTATTTTTTTGACAAGAAATGAAGCTCAAGCAAACCGTTTTTTAAAAACCAAATATCTAGCTGG